ACAATTTGGAAACACTGTTGAGAACAAGTAATTAAGATCTTGCTTCGTGTTTTGGAAGCCGGTGAAACTTTTATTTTCTGTGACATCAGGGTGGCGTCAGGAAGTTCTGGCTCATCAAGAAAGGTCAGGATGGTCTGCAGGGCCCCATGCTGACCAATTCCTAATTGCCTATCCGAGGAGATCCAGTGATACCTGCATCAGGGGCACCTCACTGACTGAGAAAGAGGTGGGCACTTCACATGAGTGTTTGGAGGGGAGGGTCACCCCCATCCAATCCTGAGGTGCTTGCAATTTAGATCCTTGAAAGAACTCAATCGTTTATGCGAGTGTGAATTAGATTTGCACCCCACTGTTCCCAAAATGTGGACCTGAAGGTGGTGAACAATACAAAGCAAATAAACCAAGTGAAATGAACGTGTCCTCTTCTTGCATCTCACTGCAGCATAGGGTTGACGCTGCATTCTTAGAGTCTATGCCAGTGGAGAAGAAGCCGGCGTGGCTTCTGGCATGGTCCCCAGTGGCAGACTGGATGGCTGCCATCCCAAGATGGAGGTGGCTGCTGCCCCCTAACCTATCTGTTGTTCATGCCATTGACAACCTGGCCATTGTTCTTGCGTTCGTTGACTTGGCTTCTATCCTTTCTTTCTTCATAAAGGTTTAGGGTGGCCAACGATTTATAAATATTTGCAAAAGGAGAGTTAGAATCAGAGGTTACATATATCGAAAACCGCAAGTGTCTTAAGTCACGGCTTTACAAATGCCTGCTTGAATACAATAAAAGCAATCAGTAGATCAAATGCTCACTTGCTCTCAAAATGCCTATTTAAAGGAATATGTTTACAATTGGCCTGAAAGAGAAGAGTGTGGGGGACAACTGGATGCTGGACACAAAGCAGTTCCACATTGGGGATGCCGCCACCAGCAAAGCCCTGGCACTTGTGGTTGTCCGACAGGCCACATCACTCCAGAGCAGCCATTCTTAACCCTTTTTAGGCCACGGCCATAAACACAGCATGAAAGAAAGGTAGGCAAAACCAGGAGTGTATGAGTTGCATAATGAACCTTATAAGGAAGGAATTTGTTTCCAGTCTGTGGATCCCTTCAAATATGACAGGGCTTGCCAGAGGGCCACATGGCCCCGTCTGCTCTACAGAACCACAAGCAAAGTCTAATTATGTTAATATTTTAATTTGTTTGACTTTTATTTATATATTACATAGGTCCATTATATTAAATTGTTCAACACTCTGATATGAAAGAAGAAAGAAGGAACCACGAGCAAAGCTTCTTTGGCTGTTCTTAAATCCTGGATAGGGTTGATATAAGAGAAGGTGGTCCTTTTGCTCGCCCACCCTGGAAATAAAGAGATAAGAGACAGGTGATGGGTTTAACTAGGGCCACACTGTATTAACTCATGAAACTTTTAACTTCCCTCAGTTCTGCAGAGGGGCCAACTGTAGGGCGGATCTCTGAATCAGGGGCCACGGGTACTTCTTTACCCTGACCCTGCCTGATCTGGTGAGTTCCAAGCCCCAGGTTTGTGCTGTCACGTCGACAGCCAGTTCCTGGGCAGCTAACACTCGGATGACCCTCCCCACCACCAGCCACCAAAGTCTTGTGACTTTAGACTGCCAGCAGCCATGGCTGGCCACCCCTGCACCATGCCATGCCAACAGTAGAACCTTGAGATCCTCAGTGCTAAGATGTTGGTAGCAAAATACAGCAGATGTAGCCTTTGGAACTCACTGCTACTCCATTCACCATCTGCACTCGCCACCAGTGTGACCTATTGAACTGCAGCACCACCCCTGATCAGCCCATCCTTGCCCCATAGGACCCTTGCCCCATAGGATAGGCAACAATTACCCACACATCTTTTATCAATATGCCAATCGGGTGATACAGGTCCAAAATTCCTCTCTGGCCCTGAAGCAACCAGCTAGTCTCCCACTGAACTCTGTGGGCTGGCGTGTGGGTTGCCGCACCTTCAGCAGAAGTCTGAGCAAGGGTGGGTTCCTTTTCCCACCCTGCTCAGGCAAGCCCAGGCAGCTCATGGGTCTCCAGGCTCCATGTCTCCCCATCCAGAGAAGGCAGGCAAATCTGCTCTGCCCATGCAGCCGTTAGGTGCTCGCCCAGAGATAGGCATTAGCACTAATACTAATACGTGCTCCCAGAGGCATCTGGTGGGGCCACTGCGAGATACAGGAAGCTGGACGAGATGGGACCTTGGCCTAATCCTGCAGGGCTCTTCTGATGTGCTTATGTGAAAGTGCTCTGGGGGCTCACCGGCCAGCAGTGCAAACATTTCAGAAGAAGTGTAATATCTGCCATCTTTGTTGCCCCGTCAACAACAGCCTCATATACGAGGGGCAGTTACCATGGAGAAGCCCCATTTAGAGTGATGGTCCAGTTGGGAAGCTATCAGACCACAGATCGACTGTGAATCAGGAATGATTGTAGCTGGCAGACCTACCCTCATCGGGCACCATCAGTATTCTTAACCACGGACGACCACTCGCTCTTTCAGTCGTAGCTTTGAACCAAAGACAACTCCAGATCCCTTATGGTTGTACTCTTAATTTCCTTTCATAGTTGTTTTTTGGAAACTCCCAAATGTCACTTTTGTGACCTTCGGAGAGTCGCTGGCATTTGTTCCAGTGTTTTATCTCAAAAGGGCCTGGCATATCTAATTTATAGTTGTTTCCAGTGTTTTATCTCAAAAGGGCCTGGCATATCTAATTTATTTATAGTTGCACAGTTGTAGTTTCAAACCATAATAACCATTAACTATGTAATGTCCGTATTACAAATTGGACACAGAGTATCGCTAGGCCACTGAGGCAGACATGACAGTCAAAACACTTTCGTTCCTTAGTTCTGCGTTGCATGTTTGAGTGTTGTGGTGACTTTGCTTTTGAGGTTATAAAGTTGAGATATGTGCTTCACGCAGGAAAGTATATTGTGTCTATTTGTATTACACTCAACTGACCAATTTGCCCGTTGATCTCTGGCCATTTTAACTTTCACATTTTCTCCCCTTGGTGTTTGATTCAGAAGTGAAAAAAAGCATATAAATTCATACAGATCCGTTCTTCTTCAAACCAGCAATAGGTGAATCTCAAAAATTATGAATATAGTCCCGTTGCATTGGCAAAAAATACGCTGCATGTGGCCAAGCGACAGCAATAAATAAAGCTGCACTGAATGCTCATAACAATCAGCATCTCATTTTCCCTTCCTGGTTCCACCCTGCCTGCCTGCCTGCCTGTTCCTATCTCCCCTCTGCCATGCTTCCTTCCATTTGTCCAGCCATCTCAGCCTTAACTCTACATAGCCTTGGTTGCTGCCTGATTGAATCGTACATGACATGCCTGCAAAGTACCAGTACAGGACAAATCCCCCACCGGGCCCCACAACACATGCCTGGGAAAGGAAGGGAAGGGGAGATTAAGTGACTTTCCCTGAGGTCACACGGTATGTCTGTGGCAGGACCAAAGGCTGGAGACCATTAATGAACTATATTTATCGTCTGGGCTAGGCTGTCTCCGCCTGTTACAGCACCAGCTTCTAAAGACTCATCCTGACAGTGACTGATGCTAAAAGCACTCGCATGAAGCAGATTCATTTCCTTCAAGGGCAGACATTTTGTCTGAGGGTTATCTAAACCAAAATCTTGCATCACAGTCCCCTCCTAACGGAGATTAAGGTGCAATTTAATCACCTCCCTAAAGCCACCATTTCCTTAGCTTGTGGTACACGAGGGAATGTAATTGAGGTAGCATTCTTGCTTTTGTTTCCCAGTTCTGAGAAATATATGTCTGATTTTTTTAAAAAAGGCTGTCCTTCAAACAATCGTTGACTGGTTGAATTATTTGTTGCCTTCCTCCCCAAATGAGATATAAAGCCGCTTATACCTATAACTAAAAAAAGGAAGGACAGAAACACAAAGCTGTAATATGAAAACACAAGCACATTTTGAGATTAAAATAGAATCTCGTTAAAAGAAATTGAACCCTCATTCATGTGGATGAAAGCACACCGACCAGCCTTGCCTTGGCCTCTGGAATTCCCATGTACTGAGGGTTAGCTGTAGGATTAGCAGGAGGTTCAGGTTAGAGGCCTGATTTAATGGGCACCTATCATCTTTTCTGAATCCACTTTCCTGAGCATTTCCTAGATTCCAGTGTTCCCTATCCCTAAATGGGGCCAACTTATTGACAACCAGAATATCTCACGTCTGCTTCTTGGCATCATGATGACTCTTCAGAATATGGCATGGGATGTATTTTGGTGCCATTACCTCACACTGGCTGGGACCAAAAAGCATCCCAATGAGAAAACAACAATAGATATCTTGTCACATCAAATTTTTGCCTGTAAGCAAAAGAACAGTTCTATGGGACATGCCCAAAATTTGGCAATATTATTTTCAGCTCTTCAGGTGGCAAATATGGCAGAAGGCCTACATAGTAAGTCAAGTTCCGTCTGGACTGAGCAACAAAACATGACGTTAGGGGACTAAAATTTTTCATCCTAGTGCATGACAGTTAAAAGGGGCTTTTTGAAAAAATACTACAAATAATTATGTGTTGTCAAATCAGTTCTGAATTATGGTGGTAATTTTTTCAGGATTTTCTAGGTATTGAGAGTATTCCGAAGTGGTTTTCCATGCCCTCATTCTGAGGATTACCAAGTTCACACATATGGGTTCTTCTCCCAGAAGGCACAGTGGGGAATTCAACTCCCAAACTCCAGGTCCCTAGGGACCTCCTAAGACATTTCCTCAGAAAATACAAGCAAATGAAGAAACAGGCATCTACAGGTAATGTGTAGAGTAATCCTATGTCTTTATGAAAAATTGAGGTTTACTCCTGAGAAAACTGTGCATAAAGGGCTTTGAGACGAGTGGGAGGGAGGGAGGAAGGAAGGAATTGATGATGGCGGGCAAGCAGGGGGCAGGGGGCAGGGAGGGAAGGAAGGAAGGAAGTCCCGATATTCTCTTTCCTTCATCTTTACTCCTGATGTTTCAGAGTGTGAAAAGAGAGGCACACTTATAAGCCAAACAAAACATTAGCTAGCATGAGGAACTAATCAGGGTATGCAAATAGAAGCCTATTTTCATAAAAGAGAGGGGTACTCCAGAATATAATATTCTTATGTGTTTCTTCCCTAAAATGACGCAAATGGGCTTTAATCATTAACTCACTGTAATTGAACAGTACCTGAGAAACAACCAACTGGAAAAACATTCTGGGATGCGTCAGTCCTATTTATGGTCTGTAGCTGTCTGAGAAATGAATTATTACACCCAGACCAATATCAATGTAATCTTGATTTTTTTTCTTCTCCTGGAGCTACAAAAATGAATTGATCATATACAAGCCCTCACAAAACTGTTTTTAAAACATCTGGTAAAAGCCAGCATGCAAAGCCTGCTGCAGTCACTCAGTCGAAAGAGGTGTGAAGAAGCGGACATTCCAAGTGTGCTCTTTATATTTGCACCAAGTACTTCTACACCACAAGTCCCATCAAACAAGCTGCTTTTCTTAATTTCATTAACACACAGGGCAAGCTTTGGGTGGTGGCTGAGAGTGTGTGTTTGCACATTTAACGTTTGAGTGTCAACCATATGCTTTTTTGAAGATGTTTCATTTGGTGATGTTGAAAAAAGAAGTCTTTAGTTATATCCCATTGCAACTACTGCAATATGTTCTTTATGCGTCTGCCTTTGGAAACTCCAGCTGGTCCAAAAATGCTGTGGCCAAGTGGGTGACTAGAATTGGTAACTGGAAGCAGCTGATTTCCTTTCACAACAGTTTTACTGCCCACCAGTTTGCTTCTGGGCTCAATTCAAAGTGCTGGTTCAGACTGATAATACATCTTTGATCCAGGTTGTCTGAAGGACTGTATTCTGCACGTTTTAATACATGACCTTGTTTTGAGTTCAAACAGTATTTTTTATTCAGTCTCACTGTGAATGTCTTCGAGTCCCATTTTGGAAAGAAAGGTGGGATATAGATCAAATAAATGATATGTCTTCAAGCCCCCAAAGCACTTTAAATATATTCACAGAATTATCTGCACAAAGAGCAGTGTTAACTCCCTCTCACTGACACAACACTAACCAAAACAACCATACACAATGAAGAGGATTTGGAGTGTTCCAAAGAGCCCATTGCCACATCACAAGCCGTTTGCAATATCTGGTGTGGAGGAAAAGTTAACAACTTGCTCCACTCATACAGGCTAGTCCCAAGCCTGATCAGAACCATGTGTACTGACTAGAGAGGGGTGGGTTGGTTGGTTGGTTGGCTGGCTGGCTGGCTGGCTCAAGAATCTTCAATGCCTGATGGATATTTTTATTTGTTACTAGGCCATTGCAGAATGATGCTGGGTAAGGCCCCCATGTGAAGGGCATAACAAACTCACTCCATAGTGCACTTCTGTTGCTTCATTTCTTTCACAACAGAGGCTGATGTAGTCAGAGCTTGAGGAATTATCTTGACAAACGCCAGTGAAGCATGACAACTTCATTAATGCTGTCAACCTGTAAAAGATATAAAGCAGTTGAGTTTGCCTCACAGTGCCTGTCCTGTGTACTTTAATATTGCTGTGTGTCTGTCATTCCATACATTGCAAAAGACAAAAATAGTAAAATAATTTATTGTGTTTTTCTGTGTATATCACAATACTTTTGTCTAAAATATTTAGACTAAAAATTGAGGGTCGTCTTATACACGGAAGTAAGCTGAAGATAGAAATGGCCCATACCTTGCCTCTGCAAACAGACTGCCTCCAATCACAAGGCTTAGCTTCCTACAGTCATGAGCCTTATGGAACTGACGTCAGCTGATGCTCAACAAACCAACTGGAACACACCTTGTTGGAGGTGGAGCCTGTAGGCAGTGCTCAGATGTAATAGGAACTCGTAATGTCCAAGTGTTCTGAGCCCAGAGGCTGAATACTCAAAGCTAGATTAAGATTTCTTAACTTTGGGTTAGAAAAGTGTTTGTGTGTGGGGGGGTCTTATACATGGAAAAATATTGAAATTGAAACCTTGATTTCTCATTCATGTCCTTTAACTCAAGGATGTGAATCCAGATGCATCTCCCACTGCTTTCTATGAGGCTTTCTGTCTTTCCCTGATATTTCTTGGCCATCAAAATGTCCTCAGTTTCTTCCCATGAAATTCTGCACATTAATTCTTGAGATACAATGTAGGAATTGATGCCATTTTCTGCAGAATTCCTGATCAACACTTAGATAAATCTCATGTACTGCTATGCAAACAAACAGTGAATATTAATCAGTTTACCTCTGACCATTAGTCATTATTAGCCATTACATGGCTATTAAAAAGAAAATAGCAAACAATGAAGGCTGTGATAACCCTCATTTTGCACAGGCAAAACCGCCTTGTAATAATGAAACACACACACACACACAAACCTGATTCTTCTTGCATTGTGGCATTCAGTGGCTGAAATCTAGTAATGCAAAGTTATGCTGTGTAAGATTGATGATGTCATCAGCCACAAATGCAATAAAAAGTTTCTCTTAGGTTCCCTTTTGAGGTGGAGAAGACTTTGGAGACAGTGGGATGAGGAGAGTCTTAAATACATCTGAAAATTGTCATTGTTGGTCCCTCATGTGTGCATATGTGCATTCAGTTCTTCCAAAAAACAAAGGAACAAAAAACAACAACAACAACCCTGGTTTATGAATGTGGGATATTGTGCTTCTATACCCATGATTCAAAATACCAGGAAATAGCCCAGTATTGCTGCACAATATTGTGCCCACATTGCTAGCAAGAAAAAGGATGCCAGGCTTTAGATAGCCAAGGGCAGCCTGAATGTTGACAACACCAATAGGATACCCTCTTCTCTTCACTACTAGAGATGGGCATGAATTAGAAAAATGGTGATCCATTTCAATTCATGTTTTGTCAAGGTTGATGAATCATGAATAATGAGTTTATGATTTTTTCTGACGAATTGACAACTTGATTCATTGATTCCTTTTACCTTTAAAACCCTACAAAAGGCGCTCCCCAAGCACCAAGGGACACCACAATTGCAGAGAAGGTTCCCCCGACTCTTCTCTCCAATCCCTCCAAGTTTGGTGAAGACTGGGTTTTAGCCATCCGAGATACCCTCCAAGTTTGGTGAAGATTGGGTTTTAGCCATCCGAGATATATGCCCACAAAGTGGGTCCCACCAAGAAAGTGCCCTTTAGGAGCTGGCTTGGGGAAAACCAATCTTTGCCAAACTTGAGGGGATTCTAGAAGAGAGCCAGTAGAAGCTTCACTGTGATTTTGGTGTCTCTATGTGCCAATGGAGAACTTTCATGGGGGGGGGCTCTCTGTGGGTCTAGAACATGGACTTCTGAAATACCAATTTTCACCAAACCTGGAGGGATTGTAGAAGAGAGTCAGCGGAAATTTCCCTGCAGTTTTGGTGACTTTAGGTGCCTTGGGGGCCATTTTATAGCCAAATGAATCAACAAATCAAAAAATTGCTAGGAGTTCATTGATTCCTATTCATCAGGGGCACTGATTCGTACAAATACGGATGGATGAATTAGCAATGTTTGAACAAATTTGGTGACTTGTTTTTTAATTCGCGCCCATCTCTAATTATGAGCCCTCGTCTAAAACCTCTGGAAGGCCAAGCATTCTCACCCCAGCCTTAGAGACCAACATGATGTGATATTTGTCATGCAGTTTATCAGGATCTGGCTCACACTACCCTGGGAGCTGTAGGATCAGGGCCAACCCGAGGTAGCAGCTGCTGGGCCACTCAGGAGGCTCACCTGAAGGCCTAGAGGGAAGGCCTATTGAAGGAGTGGTTCTCCCTCCTAGAACCTGCCTCAGCAATGAAGGTCTTCTGGCTGTGCTGACTGCCTTGTTGTTCCTAAGCTCCAGAATTCCTGCTCCTTGCCCACTGCATCTTGGCACCTGGTTCTTGCTCTGTGTTCTCAGCCTTCTGCTCCTGCCTCTGTTTAGTCACGACCAACTGCACAGTGAGTGCCATGGGACTCCATACTCTGTGTGGTGGAATGTGTCCTGGTACCCTTACCCCTGGTGTGGATCTGCCTGGGATATCCTAGACTTTGACACAGTTTGTCCTTTGGTTCCTTAAATTTAGGAAGATGCATAGTCTGTGTCAGGATGGGGATGCTAGTTTGGAGGCCTTTGTGGAGAGTGCTTTAATGCTGTGCAAACTTGGAGGGCTTGTAGAGCAGAGTCAGTAGAAGCTTCTCTGTGATTTTGGTGTCTTTAGGTCCCTGTGGGACTGTTTTATATCTCAATAAAAATTGCTAAACATTCATTGGTTCAGTTCATTGGGGGCCATCAAGTTGGACAAATACGAATCAACAAATTAACATTTTTTAAATGAAATTGGCAATTTGCTTTTTAAGTCGTGTCCATCTCTACTCACTACCATTCACAAAGTGAGATTTGGCAAGAGAAGAACTGTCATATTTTAATGTGAGCTTTTGTGGACAGGTCTAGCTCTTCAGACAAGCTCACATTAAAATGTAACAATTAGTATTTAAGGTGCTATAATATTTTTATCTTTATTTTTCATTTTTCATTTGTTTCTGTTGATACAGTGGGGTCTTGACTTGAGAACTTAATCCGTATTGGAAGGCGGTTATCAAGTCAAAAAGTTCTCAGGTCAAATCTGCATTTCCCATAGGAATGCATTGAAAACCATTTGATCCGTATCTGCTCTTTTCCGACCATAGAAACTAATGGGAAGCTGCTATTCTGCCTTCGACCACTAGAGGGGGATGTTTTGTTTCTTTTTTCTTAGGTCAAGAAAGGTGCAGGGAAGGCAGGGAAAGTACAGTCCAGGCAGTACCAGGCAGTCTGAAGACTCCCAATCCACTCTCTAAACGCTGGGAGGGGGGAGGAAGCAGACAGGCACCCTTTTCACTGGCCAACAGTTAACTGAAAGTTCACATTTTGCACTTTCCCTGCCTCCCACGTGGTTTTTTTCAGTTCTTAACTCAAATCTAAGTATGTAAGTCAAGTCAATATTTTCCTATGAGAGTGGTTCTTAAGTCAAAATGTTCTTAACTCGAGCCGTTCTTAAGTCAAGACCCCACTGTATACTAAGCAAGGAGAAAATCCAAGAAACTGGCTCCTTTTTTTGTCAGTTAACTATTTCTTGCCCAAATACAAAGCAGTTGTCACAGCTGTTTTTCGATCAGAGTGAGTGGCAGTGAGCACAACGGGGTATCCTTTAGTTTGCAAGACCTGAGCAGATTTTATTGGAAAATACAATATTGTGGGGGAGGGGGGGAAGGGAACAACAGAGAGAATGCCTTAATGTGAACCTCAATAAAGAAAGCCATTGCTTTTGGTTTGTAAGATCTGAGCAGAGCTGTTAATGATAGCACATATTGGAGGCCACTAACTCATAGTCACCACACATCAAAAGTAGCAAATAACAGCTTTGAATGTTTTTAAATTAACAAACAATTGTATAGTATAGTGACAAGAAGGGTGGAATGGTTGAGACTATAACAGGATGTAGGCACCAATGTTCTGCTAAGAGTGAATGAGACCATCCCCAAGCACAAAAAAGCAAAAAACAATAATTTCACAGCTTAAATTAATGAGTTTCTGAGTATTTGTTCTCTATTTTTTTCATATCTTAATTTTTTTTTTACAACCAGACACATAATCCCTTTGCAAACATGAATCTCTGTTTGGCTAGGAAGGGGTTAAAATGCAATAAGATCCTCATTCACAGTTCAAAAGTTCAGATTGCCCTAAACCTGGAGCTATTTCCCCTTTGAAAACTTGTGTCAAGAGCCTGGTCTCAGAAATCTTGAAAGAATGTTGACTGAAAGATCAGGGCTGGGACAAATACAACTGCTCTGTGCTTTTGTAATGCATAAGTACTTTAAATATGCCTTACAAAATTGTAGGCTAAATCCCTGGAGGTACATGACAAAATGTCCCTCTTTCTGGATGATTGGCACTACATTTCTTTGTTTAAAGAAATCCTGGTTTTTTTTTACTCTATAAAGAAAATCTGTCTTTTGATTGTTTCTGTGACCTTTCAGTGTCCACCAAACATCTCCCTTCCTAGACCACAAAGCTGCAGCAATGTATCTTCTTTCGTAAACCTGTTTGATGCATGTTCAATTTATAACAAAGTTACTCTCTTACTCTTTTGAAAGGCCTGTTTTGAGGATCAGTATGTGAGCCCCTGAAGCCTAGGTACCTTCCAAATTAAAAAAAGTGGGTTAGGTCAATCATACTCTTTCAAGATAAGCAAGATCGGTCTTTTCAATTTATTTAATATGTTTTAAATATGAGAACATTTAAGGTTGTATGTTTCTGAATTGGGGGGGCAGAGACAATGCAATGTAATGGCTCATACTTTGTGTGGGTACCCAAGAGATGAAGGTTCTAGTCTCTACTGGAGCAGGAAAGACCCTGCATAACCTTGGACTAGTCACAGTCTCACCCTGAACTTCACAGGGATGTTGTAAGGATAAAGTGGCAAGGAAAAGAGCCAGGTATAC